AGGATATAATATTTAGATAGTGTATCTAATGAACAGGATATAACATTTAGATAGTGTATCTAATGAACAGGATATAATATTTAGATAGTGTATCTAATGAACAGGATATAATATTTAGATAGTGTATCTGATGAACAGGATATAATATTTAGATAGTGTATCTAATTATCAAGATCAAGATATTAAGTTAGTGTATCTTATGTCTAGAGTATACTATTAAGATAATGTATCTAATGCTTATGACACATGTATTTAGATTGCTTATCTAATAAAAAGGATACATACACTTAAGAAGTGTTTCTAAAGATAAGGAGATACAGGTACATATATCATACTAATGATAACAATACAAGCATGTATATAGGATTTTTTATGAGATGGGTACAGCTTTTGTATCCTTTGAGATAAATAATGTATATCGTGTTCTTTAAGTCCATCTGATAAGGATACAGGCATGTATATAGAGTTTCGTGTCAAACACAATATGGATACACACTTGTCATATATATATAAGGAAGTGTTATTGTTGTATCAAAGATAGTGTAAAACGTAATTTACGTGTTACGTTGTATGAATTATTGAATATTTTTCTTTGGAAGTGAATTGATACGATCAAATTTACCGAGCTTTTAATATTAACTGTATAACTATTAACAATAAATACAACGGTCCAGATTGGATTGTGTTTGATATTTATCTAAATATAGAGTCAAACGGCGCTATCGTAACTAAACACTGTTAGAAACAGATATCACTTTCACCTTAAGAAGAGATTAATGGCGATTTGACTTAGAGTTTAAACTAGACTGCCAATCAGCCTGACGATATCAAAATAGAAACGTCGTTCCCTAACAATGTGGCGAGGTCCTACTTAGAACAGTTGATTGGCAGATTAGTTAAAATAATACAGACAGAGTGTAACCGGCTTAATTTCTAATATCAGGCTCTATATAATATTCAAGCTATAATCTGATAGAAATGTCCTTAGCAATATGAATACTTATTTTAGTTAAGGATAACCATACAATGGTACCTATCTCAATTACAAAGAAAATCAGGTAAGCCAATAAACCGGCCGGCGTTACCAAAATACACATAAACAACAAATTTAATTACGTTTTTAGTGCCCTAGTTAAGTATTGGTCTAACGAACATGATCGAACGATGTTTTAAACTACCTGAATTAAATCCCGTTTCATTATCCGTTTTCATTAAAATGGTAAAATGTAACGAATAAAGAGATTGGTAATATATTGCTACTATAATTGAAAAAGGTTAAGAAATCTATGGCACGCCCCCTTACATTCAGTTGATAATTAACACTAAAACAAAACAACGGCGGATATATCAGGTATATATAAAGGTTTTACTATCATACGTTAATGAAAATGCTGTGTTGATTATACTAACCGATCACAACACAATATCTAATGACAATATTGAATTATACCAAAAATCAATACACAGTTTTTGTAATCACAATATTGTATTACTCTAGCAAATCACAACACTATATTCAATGTCAATATTGAATTTAATAACCAATCACCACTCAATATTCAATGACAATATTGTAATTTACTAACCAATTACAACACAGTATTCAATGGCAACGCAGTGCATACTATTTGTAACAATGTTGTATACACTATAATAACCAGCATCAGATTAGACACAGCGGTATACACATAATTTGTTAGGTGGAACAATTCAATTGTTCGTTAGGTTGATGGTGTGGACACTCATGTTTCGGTCGATACGAGAAACAATCTAAATTACACACTTCGCTTTAAAACAATTATCTATCAACTCCATACAACCACCGCACTAATCAACCCGACTTGTGTATGCTGGTAGATAGGGAGATTACATGTAGCTTTTGAACATTTAAAAGTCTTCCTAGACGCCGTAGTAATTAACTTGTGTGGTTGATATATTCTTATTACGGTTATTGACACTGAATGCATTAGTATCATAAACATATACATAATATAGTCATCGACGCTGTAGTAATTTATATTATTTACATGTACATATAGTACGGCGCTGTAGTAATTTATATCATTTACATGTACATATAGTACGGCGCTGTAGTAATTTATATCATTTACATGTACATATAGTACGGCGCTGTAGTAATTTATATCATTTACATGTACATATAGTACGGCGCTGTAGTAATTTATATCATTTACATGTACATATAGTACGGCGCTGTAGTAATTTATATCATTTACATGTACATATAGTACGGCGCTGTAGTAATTTATATCATTTACATGTACATATAGTACGGCGCTGTAGTAATTTATATCATTTACATGTACATATAGTACGGCGCTGTAGTAATTTATATCATTTACATGTACATATAGTACGGCGCTGTAGTAATTTATATCATTTACATGTACATATAGTACGGCGCTGTAGTAATTTATATCATTTACATGTACATATAGTACGGCGCTGTAGTAATTTATATCATTTACATGTACATATAGTACGGCGCTGTAGTAATTTATATCATTTACATGTACATATAGTACGGCGCTGTAGTAATTTATATCATTTACATGTACATATAGTACGGCGCTGTAGTAATTTATATCATTTACATGTACATATAGTACGGCGCTGTAGTAATTTATATCATTTACATGTACATATAGTACGGCGCTGTAGTAATTTATATCATTTACATGTACATATAGTACGGCGCTGTAGTAATTTATATCATTTACATGTACATATAGTACGGCGCTGTAGTAATTTATATCATTTACATGTACATATAGTACGGCGCTGTAGTAATTTATATCATTTACATGTACATATAGTACGGCGCTGTAGTAATTTATATCATTTACATGTACATATAGTACGGCGCTGTAGTAATTTATATCATTTACATGTACATATAGTACGGCGCTGTAGTAATTTATATCATTTACATGTACATATAGTACGGCGCTGTAGTAATTTATATCATTTACATGTACATATAGTACGGCGCTGTAGTAATTTATATCATTTACATGTACATATAGTACGGCGCTGTAGTAATTTATATCATTTACATGTACATATAGTACGGCGCTGTAGTAATTTATATCATTTACATGTACATATAGTACGGCGCTGTAGTAATTTATATCATTTACATGTACATATAGTACGGCGCTGTAGTAATTTATATCATTTACATGTACATATAGTACGGCGCTGTAGTAATTTATATCATTTACATGTACATATAGTACGGCGCTGTAGTAATTTATATCATTTACATGTACATATAGTACGGCGCTGTAGTAATTTATATCATTTACATGTACATATAGTACGGCGCTGTAGTAATTTATATCATTTACATGTACATATAGTACGGCGCTGTAGTAATTTATATCATTTACATGTACATATAGTACGGCGCTGTAGTAATTTATATCATTTACATGTACATATAGTACGGCGCTGTAGTAATTTATATCATTTACATGTACATATAGTACGGCGCTGTAGTAATTTATATCATTTACATGTACATATAGTACGGCGCTGTAGTAATTTATATCATTTACATGTACATATAGTACGGCGCTGTAGTAATTTATATCATTTACATGTACATATAGTACGGCGCTGTAGTAATTTATATTATTTACATGTACATATAGTACGGCGCTGTAGTAATTTATATTATTTACATGTACATATAGTACGGCGCTGTAGTAATTTATATTATTTACATGTACATATAAACAGTGACGCTGTAGTATTTTTTTTTTTTACATGTACATATAATCAAGTCCTTAACAACATAAACATATACATATTATAATCATTGACGCCTTAGTAATACTCATTTACATATATATATTAAGTTAATTTGACGATATAGTACTTTGCATCATCAACATAATTATACATATTTTAATCATTGACGCTGTAGTCATTAACATCATTGACATCTGCATATTGTTGATGGCATACGTTTTAGTTACTTACATGGTATTTACGGCCATTGTCCTTAACATAAATTTGAAATTTCATTTCAACCAAAGACAATAATGCGGAAAGAGATATTTTGTATGCGCGCAAATTTATCAATATTTAGGTTCCTCCACACCCCCACACCAGACTTGGTCTCACGGCGCACATACAAATAAATCAGACGTTCACGCTGAAATGTTCTCCATTACTGCTAGGAGTAGTCTCAGACTTGTCTCAGGGCACTCGATCGATAAATAGAACGCGCTGGAGGACCGCCATTGGCTGTCACTAAATCCTTGTCAGCTTTTTGTAGTGAGAGTGTGGAATGTTTTTTTCTTTTTGTGTATCATTATATAATCAATTTTGCAATGTCTCATGCAATTAATAATAACAAATCATCCATGCACGGTACTCGACATTTACACATACGTATTCCAGGAGTGTAAAATATACGTTGAATTGAGTTGATATTGTCAGGAACAGCTAATCTTATGATCCAGTCTCCGATGGTTCGCCAGACCGAAATTATTCTTGGATAATGTCAGAAACCCTCTTGTCTATCAGAGGCCAGCTTTCTAATAATAAGAGAACTAATATCTTTCAAGCATACCAGAAATTAAATTTTTGACCAATTTGTCAGAGAGACCATCTGTGTGAATGACGGTGAAGGAAACATTGTAATTGAATTCCGTCAATGTACTCTGGTTCTCGCTCAAAGCATTTCCCTAATATTGCCTGTACTGACATTTTCTTTTGACATTTCAGATCCTCATTAGCAAACAAAGCCACTCTAGTTTGCTTAATCTTTTTTGTAGAAAAAGTTTTTGAGATTGCAATTTTCAATATGACTTGAATTAAACCTTGAATGATTAATGGAAGCTTGCTGTTTTGTTATGTTTTACTTTCGCTTCAAAGAAATTACTCCCTTCTTCTTCCCTCTCTTTCACACTTATTCATTAATTAATCAAAAGATATCTGATGTATTCATTTGGCTATCATTTACACAGATGCAAGATCCCTGGTTACCCTAACGACACATTTGAGGTGCAAAATCCTTTCCATGCCGCTCTCATCAATGCGACCATCCCGCCCAGTGAGGACATCCTGAGGAAGTACGAGATGTGTAGTCATTACAAGGGTGTGGTAGTGGACGGGTCCAGTCAAGGCGGTTACAACTATTATGTCAACAACACCGTTCGGACACAGTGCGATGACTACGTCTACGATAAATCCACCTTCGATGAAACTTTTGCATCAGAAGTAAGTTACATGCTGTTAATTAAGACTCAGATTTAGGGCTTCTCAAGGTGGAAGCAAATAATCTCATATCTAATATTCATATGGAATTTTAATGGGTGCATGCAATCGTCATTGGCATTTACAATTATGTGTTTTTTAATTAATCTTTCTTTTCGCTCTTTGATCCTATTTATTGATATATCTGGCTTTGGTAGTATTAAAAACTTCTACATTGTTTGGAAATATATACAATATGAGTCCGATTCTGATAGATTATTGTTTATTTACCTGACTCGTTATGAAATAAACTACACTGGACGCACCTGGCGATCTAAATGTCTTGATTGAACGTTAGTAACGTTGCTACGTATCTGCCGTATAATGGGAACATGTTATCTTACTTCACCAGTTTCATCTCTTTTATCGTCTACCGCTGATACCGATCTGTTTATATCATGAATTATTCGCGTAAACGTTACAGTAGAAACACAAACACATTACTTGTTATATAGTTCTCTTTTAAGTTACGGAGCAACTGTTGTGAGATAAGTCTGGGTTATTTCCTTTCTGCCATGAATATTAGCGTTAGTACCACATAGTTAATGCGAACGTCTACAGTCTGTGGTAAATTTATGATAATTATTACCATAGAATATTGTTAACGCTGCATTTGCAGTAATGTAGTGCACAGACATTACAAAACTCTGCATGGGTAACTCGGCCCAATCCTGAGCAGCAGATCACTGACACACACACATGCGTAATAATCAGCTCGTATGGTGAGAAGTTCAAAGGTTACAGACAGGAATGACCAGGTCTGGATCGAGGAGCGGGTCACTGACCCGGGTTAATTTGTTATAGTCACCACATGATATACGTGTTTGGAGGAAGGCTTAGATCACACAGAGGGAGTAAACAGTGGCAACATTTCTAGTGTGAAATGAGTTAAATGATTGTGCGCCGATCTGAATTTCTCTACCAAAGCTTGATGAAATGACAGAAAGACAGACCCATTTGTAAATCAATATTTCATAATAGGATAGTATCCCCGAAATGAAAAGTCATTACCCGATTGCTCGATGGAATGACTGAAACAGGTCAATGTAATTGGTTCGCAGACATTATTTTGTAGGCCGTTTCGCCAGCGCGCAAATTTCTATAATGATTACATAATTATAATTCTGAAACTGCCTCCGTGTATTGATTTAAGGACAGTACATGTTTGAAGTGAATGACTTTATGAAATCTCCAATCGTTTAAAATCATTACAAAACGGTAACAACACTTTTTAATGTATTTTTAAGGAAGATGTATTCTGTGTTTAATTTGATATTCATAATAGTAGTGCTGCATTTCATGGATATGGTTTACGTCATTTAAATTCTAAACAAACCAAATACGTTCATGTTGATACTTGACCTACTATGGAACCTGTATGTCGGTCGTGTTGAAATTTAGATAAACGCTTGATCATTAACGTTGTGGACTGGTTGTAGAATAAACGAGATAGATACAGAAAATATTCGTTTGTCATCGATAGGACAATGGTAGATACCGTATGTATCTCGATGCGTAATGGTAAACATGTGCTATTTCTCTTCACAGAACAATTTAGTGTGTGATGATGCGTTGAAGACTTCGCATGCTCAGATGGTTTATTACTTCGGTGTGTTGTGTGGAGATCTGGGATTCGGGATGCTTTCCGACTAGTAAGTATCCGTCCTCTGTCCTCAAATTGACACGTATTGTTGTCATGTAGGTAAACATCGATTTGACCAGCGAAACGTTCTATTAATGCATTAAACCGTTTGCAAGTTCATTCTTTCATTTCAATGGTAAATTTATGAGTGTATTTTTCCGATATCTCTGGACATCACAAAAACAAACCATAAACGGCAGGGAAATTTCAACTGAAAAAAAAAATCATGTTGTCGATTTTGTTATGTCCTACCGTTGTTTTATTGCTGTCAGCGTCCTAGTCTATATTGAACTAGACCGATACAATCGTTCTGTATAGAGACTGGCTTATGAAAACATATTAAATGTCACATTTCAAACCAGGTAATAAAATATGACCTTCCGAGCTAGCAATAAATTTAACACGAAGGAAAACAGTTTTATATCATCCCAATTTATGGATAGTAGTTGTATACAGTGACTGAAATAATATTCATATCAGAGACTCTCAAATGTCCAAAATAGTTAATGTGCTCTTTATATAGTTTATATATTTATAATTCCTGATTCCTGAAAAGGGAACTTAAAAAAAGTGTTTTTACTGTATTACGGAAAGTCATTCTGACATGTAATTACAGTCTAATATGTTACTGTAACATGTAACTGGAGGAGTGAATTGGTTGGCGTACGTATACACATAAAATAGATATAAGAGACGAACACATTATTGAAGTAGATTGGACTCAGATATGACATTTTATCTTATTTACAGCATCGGACGTAGAAAGACTTTTTCAATTTGTTCTGTACTGATGTTGGCGTCTGCCTTGGCGTTAGCGTGGGCACCAGAATATAGCAGCTTCGTCTTCCTTGAATTCACAGTTGGCGCAGCGTGTCACGGTCTCTTCATGGTCTGCTGTGTTCTCAGTAAGTCTCTAGCTGTATTTACCAGCAATGACAAAACTCTACTGTATTCGTTATACTGATAAATAAACACTAGTTAGCAAGTGACACTGTCACTCCCCGTCGCTATTAATGGTTTGGAAATAGTCAAGAAATTATTATATATACGTTATATTTTTTACACAATTAATGAAAACCATATACTTATGAACACATAATATGACTTACTCTTTCTATTCAATGTGGTCTGTGTTTGGGTATGGGAAGCACGACAGCTAAATCAGCTCAGCTAACAAAGCTCGAACCGTTCGATTGAAGGGCAGCATGAATATGACGAATCAATAATATTGCACTTGTTTCTAGTTTTTGCCGTTTTCTGTGACTCAGGTCCGCTAAGTGTTTGCTAAAAATGTTTTACAGGAAAAAGTTGCATCACATATTATTAATTTCGTGGTAATGATTTTCTTTATTTGATTTAAATTTGTGAGCTTATCCTTAACACCTTTACATAACTATTTTCATAATCACCATGCATGGATTCGATATTTCGAAACAATTGTGAAGTTATATACAGTATTGTCAGTGTTTACATTTGATTCATTGTACTTTTCGGTTCACGAAAGCGTTTATAGCATATAAACTTGCCAACTTTATTAAGCGAGCTCATTCTGAAAGTAGTATAGTCACTATAAACAGCAAACCGTCCTTCTAACATTAATATTTACCAGAAGAGCGATCAAAACACACATGGTATTTTAAAGTTAATGGACGCCAAAGAGCTGGCCCTCACTAACTATTTATGTTCTGGATAATTGGTTTATCTACCCCCAACAGGTGTACGGAGGCCTGTTATGTTATGTATTTGGCTCCTGCATACGATAACAAGTGCCAAGATGTATTTGATCAGAACTGAACGTGTTATTTCATGAGCCAGTGTATGTCGTTTAACTTCATTGATAATCCATTCTGAAGACGCCCTATCCGGAATGTTTTTCTACAGCAGAAACTCTACTCCTTAATCCGAGAATTCGCATTCCGGATCCAGTAATGTGAGAAAAAGACATTAATCGGAACATATTTCTGAAGAATCTCCGTAGTTTGTTTTGTCATCAAATGTCTCCAGCAAAGACGTTTGTCTATTTGACAACATTCGACTGCGCCACCACAAGCCGTTATAATTTGTTAAAAAACCCAACATATTTACAGAGGGGAGATTCCTCAGAGTATAAAATAAATCACGCGAGTCTAAATCTACAATGATATTGTTTCGTTTAGCCGGCTAATCGTTGTGTGTATTCACGTTTCCTTTAATACGTTTTACTGCAAAAAGCTTGCAACGCAGGACAATCCAAACTGCCTCTCTCTATCTCTCTCTGTATATATACATGTATTGTCTTGATATGAAGTTTGGAATAATAATGTTTTGCGATAATGTATACATTCTTTGATATATTTATATTATTTGCTTTACCTACGTAAATGTTTGCCTCTTAAGTAATCGGGTGCTACCTTTCATTAGGCGTGGAGATGGTCGGACCATCCAAACGAGGAGTGGCCGGGATCCCTATCCATATGTTCTTCGCCACTGGTCTGTGTTACCTGTCTGGAGCCGGTTATTTCCTGCGGAATTGGCACTACATTCAGCTGGCGGTGGCTATACCCTGCACCTTCTACCTCTTCTACTGGTGGTAAGTAAACGTTAGTGACAGTGGGTTTGGCATTTCACAACCACATAGCTTGTAACATGATTTCCAACAATATCCTAAACAGTTTTGTCATATTTTGGGAAGAACTAAAAGTAAAACACTTTTTTCTTGAGATAAAATTTAAATTTTGATTTTCGTATTAGAAGGAACTGGCTATTCGATAATTATGATTTATTTCTTTCAAAAAGAATGATATGAATACTCAAGATTCCTGCTTTAATCTTGTATGATAGAAGATACGATAGTTAGGCTAGCAATAAGAAGCATCAATTGGTATTCTTCACACATACTCATGCTACTTCAACAAAATTCATTTTTCCACACGAGCATGAACTTTTCTATTATCGCATGCAACGTTAAAAGGGATGTTATTCACACGATGATTTCTATTCTGGATTTGAATAGACCTGCATTTACAATTGTTTCAAAAGCTATTCGTGGATAAATCGTGCTTCACGATCTATTCCATTTTTTAAAAAATATTTTTGGCATCGTATTAAGATATCCGCTGAAACATCTAGTAAAGTGATTGAAAATATTAACTAGTCTCGACAGTAAACAGCTATATTCACGGTAGATGTAGTATGTACGCATCATTAGCAACTGATTGTATACTATTTGAGGAAGCTTGTTGGGGAAAGAAACCACACACACGCCATTCAGGATCTCTAAGACATTGCTGTTGGTTAAAAAGTTACAAGTGCACAAGCTTTTGTCTAGAAAAGATAATGCTAATGACTAAATATGGTCACTGACTAGCTAAGACGATACATACTTAAGACATTCACAATCGCCAACTGAAGAAACAAAAAGCGACAGCACAACCATAATTCGAACTCAGGATCAATACAACTAGGGCAAAAATGAACTCAGAATCAATACAACTAGGGCAAAAATGAACTCAGAATCAATACAAAAAGGACGAAAATGAACTCAGAATCAATACAACTAGGGCGAAAATGAACTCAGAATCAATTCAACTAGGGCAAAAAGAAACGCAGTATCAATACAACTAGGGCGAAAATGAACTCAAAATCAATACAACTAGGGCGAAAATGAACAATACAACTAGGGCGAAAATAAACTCGGAATCAATACAACTAGGGCGAAAATGAACTCAAAATCGATACAACTAGGGCGAAAATGAACTCAGAATCAATACAATTAGGGCGAAAATGAACAATACAACTAGGGCGAAAATGAACTCAGAGTGTATACAACTAGGGCGAAAATGAACTCAGAATCAATACAACTAGGGCGAAAATGAACAATACAACTAGGGCGAAAATGAACTCAGAATCGATACAACTAGGGCGAAAATGAACTCAGAGTCAAAACAACTAGGGCGAAAATGAACTCAGAATAAATACAACTGGGGAAAATGAACTCAGAATCGATACAACTAGGGCGAAAATGAACTCAAAATCAATACAACTAGGGCGAAAATGAACAATGGTTCTATTCGTGTTTTTTCTGTAGGAAAGGGAACATCACAAGTACACTTACAATTTCCTTTTGATTTGCATGAGGTTATTCCTCCCTCGATGATTCATTTGTGAAGCATCCCTTTTATACTTTCAATTTACAAACTAATGTATAAAGAACATGAAATGTCAATACACATCACCACAAATATGAATTATCGCACTATGGTATTTAGAACGTCATTGTACCATACGTTTCTGGTACACAAAATCAATTCTTCATAAAAAACTTGGTCTAAAATCATTCTTCATGCTGAGAGGATAAACATTTTTCACACTTTAGTGAAATAAATTATATTTAGTCTCATTGAAAGAGACTTTTATGTAATATGCCTTCACAAAAGATGTCCCGGACCTTTGCTATCTTATTGATATTTTATGAATTTAAATTTCCTGAAAATATCATCATGTAATTCATGCACTTTGGAGATTTTTCGGTAACAAAAATATGCCGTAAAACATTATATGATTTAAAAAAAACGTAATTTAAAAGTCCTATGTGTACAACCTGTTTTATGCTCATAATATGAACATAATAAACCAAGTAATTGATTAAAGATGATACCTCTCCGCATAACCAAGTATGCCCAACACATAATCTATACCGTGACGTCACTAGAGGGAGGACCTACTTTAATGCTACGGGTGGGGGTCATAGTGAGCTTAAGGATTCCCGTGCCATCGGCAAAAAACTCACTACGTATTGTTTTTTCAGGCTTGAACACGGCTTTGATAACAAAAATATGTAAAGAAAACCATACGTTGCAGGAGTTAAATGACAAAAATATTAAAGATAAAATAAACAAAACATAATCAACTACATTGTTCTGAGTGTAAAATGTGAGCAGGGCTAGACCAGGATTGGAAATCTGGACTTCCGAATGTTGTATTATCCCTCTAACCAACTGAGGTCACTGGCTATCTAAAGTCCCCTGGCTCAATTGCATAAGAGTTACATCCAAAACAAAATCAAAGGGAGATTATTGAAAATATGAAAATCATAGTGGAATTATCTGGTGTTATACCTAAAGAGGGACAGGGATCCTTAAACTTTATAGTGTATCATTTCTTTTATCCTATTTTTATCTTCGTATGCATGACCTCTGAATAAGGACCAGCTATAGGGTGAGGTAAACAACAGGTACATAACATATGAAATTGAGACACATGTTTGCGCTTTTTTTAAAACATTTCATCGGATGCATGTTATTACAGTTAGTTAATGAGTGCACCGGCAGCGTCCCTCAATATACAATCAGCCAAAATAAGGTTTTTACAAAAATTATCCAGTTGATATGAATGGTAAAGCAATAATCATCATCATTGTTAATGATTTATGATAATAAAAAATAATTATTGGTAAATTACATTGTAAAACCTTAACGAAGACGTCTGCTTTTTTAAGTAGAGATATAGAAAGGGCAAAATTGAAAATCTTATTCGATATGAAGCGATATAAGAAGGTAACGAGAGGCAACTGTATGAATAAGCAAGGGGAAAATGGAAAATGATTTGCAACAGATGGCCATCTTTTTAAACGTTAAGCACAAAACTTTAATGCCTTCTTACAATGTTGATATAGAAAAGTGTTTTGCACACATACAATAGCTTGTTTTGAGATGCGTATATGGAGGGAACGATGCGAGGCTATAACACAAAAGTGTGTGCTTCTTTTTCGTTTTTGCGATTTTGAAAGGATTTTATAATATGATTTATCTGCTGATTTTTTTTGAATATTTTTTATTGAAATTATGTGAATAAATAATCATCAAATATTAATGATAGAAAAGAGAGGATATTGTTTGAAATTACCCAATTGGGCTTTTTGGTGAAAAGGAAGCACGCGCGAATTATATAACATTCTCCAACTCAACGTTAGCCAAAAACAAGACAGGCTTCGATCAGAATATTTTTTTCTGATTATTACATTTGTCATTCTGTATTGTTGCAGGTTACCTGAAATTCTTGATAAGTCAGATGACGGAAGGCTTATTTATTAATCAGACTGAAACTCGTAACCGCTGAAAAAAGAGTGTACTCATAGTAGACTCGAGTACGTTTGAGCCCCACTTCCTCTTTTCCCTTTTGCCTTGTCTTTTAATCTCCTCACCACATCATAGCGTCGCAGGGATGCAGATAAATGGACCAAAAACCGTAAGTTCTAAAATGAATTTAAAACTGTATCAAGTTTGACCTTTGCAACAGTTCATATTTACGCTTTCGTACAATATGGCACAGGTTATGACATCGCTTATTACGGAAGTTGCTTTTCTGCAATTGTTAATGCATTATATATAGCTCAATATATAAATCATTCAATTTCTAAACCAAGAATAAGTAGCTTTGATTTGGATGAACATTGATAGTTTTAAAAAATGAAAATGAAACGATTTGTCTTGATAATTTTTGGGTCACAAACAGCACGAGTTAGGGCTTCTGTTTCAAAGTAATTTATTTTTATAATAACTTATAAGTTTCCTCTTGAATGGGCTTTGTTTAACTCCAGTTCTCAATCGTCTGATCACCTAAACTTGGCACGGGCTAACGGTATGTGTTAAACACTAATTGATATGTAGATAAACGGTTACAGTAACCTATTTCGGTTTATTCTATAAATTAATTTGTCTAAGCATAAGCATAATACTATTCGATGTATGAAGCGGAATGTTGATACTGTTGCGAAGGCCAAACTTATAAAATATCGCGATCGTTTCCGAAAAAACGGTATTTTCCGGGTTTTTTCTTGGGACAGAGCGTGCTGTACTTAACGAAGACATGTTCTTTTTGATGATTGGGATCGTTGCTGCCGTATAAAGAAGATGGGAGTGAAACATGAAAAACGACCCCCATGTGAACCTGCCCATTGAAGTTGTGATGTTTCCTACCAGAGATGTTAGATGCCGAACCGAAATGAAGAACATGCCAGGTAGCCTTGAATATCATTGGACGAAGAGTGTCTTCTGTTTCATAATTGGCAACATGCAGATGACCAGTACATTATGATTTCACAATTTTACAGCCTCATCTTTTCGCACAGACCTTTTCTTTGCAAGAGCTAACACGAATTTTGTTCAATTGGTTTTAGATGACAAACGTTTGGTTTCATAAATACTAGTTTAAATATTAATTTCATCTGATATCAAATCGATGTTAGGTAGATGATAAATGAATAATAAAACTGCATTGCATCAAACAATGATGTAATGCTAAATTGGTATACTTCATATTACAAAAGAAGCATTTAGCGAGTTAACTATTCTATAATGAGGATACTCAGCTACAAAGAAAAGTCAATATGGCTTATTATGATATCGGATGGAATATGTTTTGCCAATCTTGCCTACCAGCTATGTAGTGAAATTAGATTTTCCTTCCAAGTTTCTCCCCTATCTTTTAATCGTATGTGTACATCAACGAACAACAACTGTTGGACACGAATCATCAACAAGCCGTCACAAGCCTGATATAAACAGATACGACATCGAGAAGACATTTCCAGGATGGGCATCTTTTATATTATTCTCCACATCTGAGGATGAATGCAGTAACTAAATCAACGTTACACAAGCGAAGCTGGCTGTTTTCACCGCAAACTACAACTTAACCAGGAGTATTTTCTTTTTAATTGGTTTATATGTGTGTTATATATGTATTTATGTATGTATGTATGTATGTATTGCCTTTGCAAATAAAAAAATATGTATTGTACATGTGAAATAATTGTATACCTTAGCATTAGGGAATCTAATTTATCTTAGTTGATATGCTGTCAATTATAGAATAGTTAGCTATGCACTGTATCTTAAGAAAATAAAGACCCAAAACTTAAATTTGCTAGCCCACATAAGGTGTTGGCCGTCTGCGCACCGGTTGGGAGGTATGGCGACATTATTGTTGTTCTTTATAGAAAACACGGAATTAAATAAAAAATGTTTCTTTCTTTTTTCGTTCAGATTTGATTCGATATCAGCTGAAACACGAGAAATATTGAATTGTTTTCCAAAGGATTGGTTCAGTTAAAACAAGTGAAATTTTGACATCTAATTTTGAATACTGATACTTAAATATATTTTCGTTTTGAATGTCACGAAAGAAAAAGTCGACATGACTCAGAACTTATTGTCATAGCATTAAGCATTCATGTTTTATTTGGTTCGGTGTTTTTCTATAGCATAAACATGATTTATTTTTGCCCTTTTTATAAATAATTCCTTATCCACATTTGTAAAAAAAAACCAAAAAAAAAACATTGTCACTTTAAAACTTATATTTTCTCTTATTATATATTAAAACTTATATTTAAAGTTTTTCTGCATAATATTCAAATTAATAGATAATATTTAATGTAAAAAGACCTGTGGATAATTCATAAATAATTATACCTGATAAATAAACCATTAAAAATCGGTTCTTTTTCAAAATTTGGCGAGGAAGAAATGATGGTTGCAGTCCATGGAAGAAAACAAGAACTAAACGATTGAAATTAAACTCTTTCTGGCCTCATTGTTATTGGATAGCGCATAGAACTATATATAGAGAGAAATAAATTGTCATTACTGTTTTCTTTAAAAGGGTTTCATAGATGTCAAAGCAATAAAATGTGGCAAACCATTCATCGTTTCAATAAGAATAGCAATTTTCTATAAATAGGTTGATTTGTTTGCATATATTTGTACCAGACACGACAGGATAACGTACTCGAAAAAAGTAATTTCCGAGTTATACGCTTTAATTTTGAAAGTTCAACCCCAGTCAATCGATAAACAAGCATGGGCGAATAACAAGTCTATATATATAACACAGCGAACTTTGCAAATTCAAAAGATAGGGCGTTTTATTGATTTTGCAGTATAAATGTCTGTCGGAATAACAGCTTTTTATTTTGCAGTTAAAACGCCAACTCTATCAGCTGCTACTTTGAACTACCGGTGTTTTCTTAAACAAATTGTGATCAATAGTGCTATCATTGTCTTTTACAAAGAAGCGCATCAAATATATCGGTACACAATCTAACCTTGAAGACATTTATGGATGAATAATTTACTTGCATTAATTAATGCTGTAAAATGTAAGGTTTGACTGTTATAATGGAGATTTATTTTGCTTGAATTTATGTGCTTGATCAAATTTATTATCAGAAATCTGAATGAAAATGTTATCGGGAACAAAAAGAAACATGAAATCCTTGCCATTATTTAATTGCTTTGTTATCCATTAAATCTGTTTTTTGACTTTTAACAAAAACTCAGTTACTATGGTAGATTTATTGGTTATTCACAAAGGAAGTGAAGTTGAATTGAAGTTTCTGATTTTGAAAAGTTGATAGGCGTGACTTTTGAAAAAGGTAAGGTATCTCGCTGTAAAAATGGAAACCCCAGTTCCGTGATCGTGTTGTTGATAAAAGGGCGCAATATCAACGGTAAGTAACTGTTATATTTTATGTCCTTCCGCTGTACCTCAGGAACTATTCCATATTACCTTTCAAAGGTTTCAATACCCAGGCACATATCCTCGTTTGAAAAATATAATATAAATGTCACGAGAGGAATCACATTAAAGACGAACGATCTTAAAAAAAAGACTCCAAGAATATTCAGTTCCAAAAACAAATCTAATAATGAACATTGAAAATCAAGTGAGGACATAATGCCTGTTTGGTGGGGGTGTCGTTAATCGCGTATCGTTCACAATATACATAACGATCACAATTGCAACTTCTACTGCAAAATTAACTTATCACAGTTGAGAAAAACCTAAGGTGTGCAACATAAAATATTTCTGTAATGGTCGTTGTTTTCGCCTGTTGCCTATTATATTGATTTCTAATTAATTTAATTAAGATGAGAAATTACCCCTAAATAGTTCCTGAAGAACAGTTATACACAATCGTGGCTAAAATAAACTCGTTTTTGTGAACATTGAAGTATTTTTATATGCAAAATGTGTTTATGCAAATCATCATGAAACTACTTTTATATTTTCCAGATATCATCTCCATATCGCCTTCTACCCTAGCCAATGCCTCCAAAAGACCAACGGATAACATGTTTAAGATAATTAATTCTTTAGAGTTTTGTATGGTCTAATGCCAAATAAGTCCGTTAGTCGTATGCTTATATATCATTAATTGTCGCCGCTAGTTTACTACAATTCCCAAGGAAAGTTTGAGTCAGTAACCAAGGGAGTTATTCCTGTGATCAATGGTACCGATAACATACAATACCGGTTAGTGTGTGTATTGCCTAATGTAAATTGCAGGCTGTTTGAATCAAATGTAAAACAAGAAAATCGATGACAAACCAGCCATATTTGCTTGAGCTGTGAAGGTTTATTGTACCCCATTTGTTCTGACAGACTTTAAGTGTAATGCCTGGTATTGCATCAATGCTGTAATATAGAAACATATCCTGATGTACTGGTGAACTTCGTAACAGAATGAAACGTGTACATTACGAAACTTTAGCCGCATTGTAAACTTGATGGAAATGGAATGTTTTAACTTACTTTTGTATATTTCTTCTTATGATTTCGAATGTTCTTTAAACTGTATTAAGCTTTTTTATACATCACTTATTTGAGGCATTCCTTATTTATTCTTTGCCTTGTTTCTGTCACATTTGCGCTGTCTCAGTGGTGTTATTGCTCGCCAAACATTGTATTATCTCCTGTAATAAATTGGAGAGTTTCTGCGTGCTTTCTTCTAATGTATAACATAATTCAACGCATCATCTTCAACAAAACAATATCGATATTTTGAAGTAAAAATATTGCGTGCTTGAACTTTCAGAATAATCTTATAGATAGGTGTTACAATAGTAACTTTCAGGAATCTAACCTCTTAAACCTTTTTTAAAGGTATTTCAAAATTGAATTTAGATTCGAATTCTTATGTCACTTTAATTTTCAAACTTAGTCGAAAATTGTCAGATTTAGTCGTGTTATGAATAAAATACACCATTAGGTTGAATAAAAGATGTCTTTATAGGTGGCTCAGTAAAAACAATAGACAGCATTTTTCAGGTTTTAGTAATATCGTGAAAATCTTATCAATCCATCGTAAGATTTAGTGTACTTGATGCTAATACGCGATAAATAGATATATACAAATCATCAGACAAACACTTTCAATACTTAGAGAATACATTGTTAAAAGACATTATTTGAATTCAGTATACATCGCCCTTACTCTGTCGAACAATTCAAAACATCATATATTTTATTAGCAGTACATTTATTCCGCAAACACAAATGAACCTCTGTGGACACATGACCGATTAGACCTCGCGTTGTTTTTCGAAGGTGACCAGTATGACGTAAGAAGCCTTGGTGTTTGTAAACCCTGCTGACAACGATACTGCCGACCCCTCCCTGTGTCCATTCCCCGGCATCCAATTACAATACCCATGGTCCATCAGTGGTTACGAGATAAAACCTAATCAGAGTCTCTTCTATAGAGCAGTTATGTGCTGTTAGGAAAAATTGTTCCCATTACACTTTCTTAAGCGTTCTGGCTGCATGTATATGTCCTAGGTTTATTCCTGAATCGCCACGATGGTTGATCAGCAAGGGGCACTACGAGGCCGCCGAGGTGATTGTCAAGCGTGCAGCGGAAGTGAACAAAACAACAGTTCCCGATAAGATGTTCGACGCTAACTCCGTGGAAAAAGTGAAAGAGGGCCACTTGTGGCATCTGTTTATGTCTAAGACCCTCTTCTTCAGGACCATCATCATATTCTTTAATTGGTGAGAATATTCTTATGAATGTCCATTTGACGTGCACAATGATTTGTTGTAAGAAATTTAAACACGCTAATGCTGTATGATAAGAAATCGTGATGAGATTTATTAATTCTTGTATAATAACTAATTTGTAATATTCTGATAACGTGTTTTTTTGCGTTTTAATATAATATTGCAGATATGTTGAATTGTGTTTCACTAATTCGCCGTTTTTATTGAATAGGTTCTTCATTAGAAAGGTTTGACCTATTGGTATCGAGAAATACTCTTTGTACCTAAACACCGTTTCTTATGATGTTAACATCAGATGTTCCAAAGGGTATATGCACTACAACAAAATTTCATTACAAATCAATAAATATTTTACATGTGAACAAAAATAACGATGACTATTTCTCGATACTGGTTGCATGTTCTTGCGTTCATCGTGTGATTATGAATATTTTAAGAAAAGATGTATTCAGGATAAAATTATCATAGGTTTGTTGAATAGGCTTGTTTTATATCTGTTTTAATTTTCTTCATAGAGCCAATTGTTGCACTTCTCGGAACGATGCCAGGGTTTTCACTCGATCTGTTTCATAAGACTGGTGATGTCCATAGGACGAGGGGATAGGGGAATCAGGCATCTGGTAGACCAGAGACCGATGGACACTTATACCTACTTGCAGAGTTAAAGATTGGGATAAACTATGGTTGTAGATTAGATTATATTCTCACTAAACAGACGAAACACGTTCTTATGGAAGTTTTTGTCTTTGTTTTTGATCCTAGGATGGTGATCAGCATGATGTATTACGGTGTGACCATGCACTCTGGCAATCTGGGAGGCAACTTTTTCCTTAAGTTCTTTATCCTTGCTGTGGTGGAGTACCCTGCCAATGGTTCAACAATATTTCTTCTCAACGCTATGGGCCGGCGAAAGCTCTTGTCATTGTGTATGATGGTTGGAGGAGTTGCCTGTATGTGCACTATTTTTACTGTTCTATATGGAGGAGAAGGTGAGCATAATGTGCAAGGACAAAATTCCATTTAAAATCAATTTTATTTTAAGCAAGTTGTTGATAATTTTTATCGTTGATGGATACGTGCTGTTGTAGTACTCATATAATACAGTGAAATTATACATGTGAATATATATACCTAGGTCAATTTACTTCACCCTTTAAATACACTGACTACTCTTTATATGTTTGAGAGGGGAAACACCCCGACTTTTTGTTTATTTGCTACGTATTGTGCATTCTGTAAAACAATAAGTTTTGAAAAACAATGATCAAATGACTGATGTTTTTTCTCAATACAATTTGATTCTGTTGACAGAGCTGGAACCGCTTACCCTTGGGCTGGCCGTGATTGGGAAGATGGGCTCGGCAGCTGCCTTCGGTGTTGTTTATGTATATTCCATGGAGTTGTACCCTACCGTTGTCAGGAACGGCGGAATGGGAGCCAGCTCTTGTGTTGCAAGAATAGGAGGCATGATGGCTCCATATATTGCTCAATCTGTAAGTCATTTATACAATATATTTTTTTCATCGTCATTGCTCGATAGATGATGACCAGTCACTGATCGATGGTGATGTTCCTGTAATGCTTTCCGGCTCCTTAACAAATAGTTGTAATGAGCCAACGTTCATTGATTAATCACTGATGACTCCTCATTAAAACCCCAATGATGATCCAGCATTGATCGACCACTGATGGCCCGCCATTAATAGATTAGTGTTGGCCCGTCAATAATCGATAAAAGGCTGATGGCCCGTTTATATTCGATCATAGGAAGCCCGTAAATGTTTACACAGTCATAGTCCGTTCTTGACTGATCGTGACCATTCAATTATCGATTGCTGATGGCCGACCCGTCAAAAATCAATCGCTAATGACCGTCAAAATGATCGATTACTGATTGCCCTTAAATAATCAACCACAAATGGCCCTAAAATAATCGAATACTGATGGTTCGTCGATAATCGATCACGGATAATCCATCAATTTTGAATCACTAATGGCTCGTCAATAATCGATCATTAGTGGCTCGTCATTAGTAGATGTATTTTGTATTTTCTTAATGTTTCCTTTCACACACATACAATGTACACGCTTCTCGAGTAGCAAATGAAGATGTTTATTTCGCAGTGAAAATACTTATCACCTTGATGCTGACATTACATTGAATTTAATAATATTATGAATTCTAGGTAATTTAAATACATTTCAGTAAAGTTTCGTGTATAGTTGATTGGAAAATGTCTGTAGAACAAGTCTTACAGTATGTTATTTTTTTAAAGGGAGAACTGATAGGAGGTAAATTTGGACAAGCCTTCCCATTGGGTATATTTGGTGCATCCTCAATCACTGCAGGACTGTTATGCTTGCTACTGCCGGAAACACTAGGGAGGAAACTTCCAGAAACCATCGAAGACGGTGAAAACTTTGGAAAGTAAGTATTATATATCTTACATTTCCATTTGTTTGTCACACATTTTTTTCTAATTGCAAAAGGACAACGCACTGATTATAGCTCACCTGCCCGAAATGAGCTTCTACCATGGCACAGCGTCCGTCGTCCGTCTGTCGTCCGTCGTCCGTCCGTCAACATTTCCTGTAAAACGTTACTAGTCCTGAACGGCCGAATAGATTTTGACTTTTTTTTTTTTAGAAACTGTGGGTGTGGTCCCACTGGGGGTAGATGGGTATGGTCCAATATGGGAAATAGAGGTAAAACCTTTCAAATCCTTCTTCTACCATAAGGATTACGGGTTTACATCCTGATTTGGTCTGAAGTATCCTTAGGCAAAGGGCACTCAATTTTGTATAAACGGTGGGTGTTGTCCCCTTTGGGGGAAGGAAAGGGGCCAAATAGAGGAAATAGAAAATATTTATTTTTAAATTCTTCTTCTAGCGTAGAGATTAAGGGACTTTATTCTTAATTGTTCTGAAGCATCCTTTGGCCAGGGGCACTCCATTTTGAGAAAACGGTGGGCGTGGCCCCACAGGGGGCAGAGGAGCGGGGCCCAATAGGGGAAATATAGGTAAAACGTTTAAAGTCATTCTTCTACTATAGGGATTAAGGGATATTATCAAAATTTAGTCTGAAACGTCCTTGGACCAAAGGCATCCAATTGTGTATAAACGGTGGGTGTGGCCCCACTGGGGGCAGAGGAGCGGGACCAAATAGGAGAAATGGAGGTAAAACGTTTAAAATATTCTTCTTCCATAGGGATTAAGGGATTTTATTCTTATTTATTTTGGAGCGACCTTGGTCCAAGTTGACTCAGTTTTTGTATTAACGGTAGCTGTTGGGTTGGGGCCAAATAGGGGAAATCGAGGTAAAACTTAAATTCCTTCTTCTACCATAGGGAATAATGGATTTCACACCAATTTGGTTTGAAGGATCCTTGGGCCAAGTGCACTCAGTTTTGTATAAACGGTGGGTCTGGCTCCTAAAGCAGAGGAGCGTGGCCCAATAACGGAAATAGAGGTAAAACCTTTGAAATCCTTCTCCTACAATAGGGATTCAAGATTGTATCCCAATGTTGTCTCCATCAAGTTGTCTAGAAGTGCCTGTTACTATTAAGATGTATTCATTAAAACAAGATGACCACCAAACTACCATCCTGGATTATGTCATTTGACGTTTGTTCTCGCCATATCTCCAGAAATACTGAATGGATCTTTCTGAAATTTCATATGTGCATACAGTACCTACCAAGGAGTGCTATATCTTTACTTCATATCAAGTACTTTAAACATATATCCATGTGAGCGATACATGTCCCCTGGGCATCTTGTTAATAAAACACGCTGTTACAGGATTCTATGTACAATAACTATATTTGTGACCAACATTCTTTTTAAATTGCATGTTAAATAAAAGAAACAAAATATAGCTCCAACATTTAATAGATTTGTCAAGATATATGAATACAACATTCACAGTGATCAATTGTCTGTTTTGAGTCCTACGAGCAAATGAATAAATCATCTAAGGGTTAGAAACTTGTTTTAAAGATATTTATTGATAAAACATCTCTTATTAATAATGATTGGATGATTATAGCTTGACTTGCTCCTCATGACATGATAAAACAGTCTGATTAGTTAATAGTAACACTCATCAATAAAACAAACAAGAACATATATCTTATCGACATAAACCGATATATTTTGTTTAAATCGAACTGAATTGGTGCGAATTGATATACCAACGCTTACCAGACAAAATATGTTGATTTATTGTTTTTGGAGCATTTCCGAATATTACGTAACATGGTAGTGACTCTGTGTTCCTAGTAAAGTCATGAGTAATTGAGAACATTTTAATTTCTATCAGGGATCTAATCTCTAAGCTTTATGCTGTGAATATGACAATGTTACTGAATACTGTTTACCCAAGTATATGACATCAGGGATGAAATGTTTAATCTGCAGAAGCGTTTGTATGGTACATGAACTAATGAAGAATTCAAAAACTTGATTTCTAAAGCAGATTTCTTTTTTAATAAAGGATTATGTACATGCAATTCATGATATGTCGACATATTTGTAGATGTTTGCTAATAAGGATACTCTTCAAATTGCTTACAGGGATGCTGACGAACCCCTTTATGAAAACCAGATAAAAATGGTACCTGCTGATGTTGAGGAAGGAGATTATCCTGATGATAAGGCGTTTCTGTGATATGAGAAACTTATCGGCTATATGAGAATATATTGTCTTTGAAGTATCTCACACAAAGTGTATTTTATATCAACAATACTTGCCCCATACCTTTGGAGCAATTTGATATTTTATTTTTATTTTGATTGAGTAGAAGGGAGACTCGACTTTACAACATTGCTACCGGTATCATTCACTCTTCGTCCATCGCTTGCTGCTATGTATATAAGTATCATCTGATTTCATACATACAACAATCACAACGGACAATGTTTTATCCGTTGAGTTGGACCAAAGTAGTGCTTGTTAGAAGAAAATAGAGTAAGAGAATTAGCTCGTTATTAAGTTATAGAAAAATAACAATGCAATTAAGATTTTCATTTGTTTTACATTTTCATTTGAATGAAACTCTCTGTTCTTTTGGTTTCTTGGAATATGATAAAATCGAAGATGAGATACTCCATTAATATTTGTCTGTATATTTAATTTTATCACTATCAATCTAGGATGCTCAATATTCCAAAATCCTCTTTTTAAAAAATTAATATGTGTCATATGAACAGTTATGCTTTGCTATCCTTTCAAATTATCAATACCTGTAGTAAATTTAAAATGTAATGATAACTTCACATTACATTCGAACCTTTTCAGTCTATCAAATATGACGCTTTCTTTACAGATGATCTTAAATCATTGCTGATCGGCTGTAATCTAGTATCAATATGGCGTTATATATCAAATGTAGGTTTGGTTTTTCTTAAATGAAAAAGTATGTGTATAATGATGAAAATGCTACGTTTGTAACCGTTCTACTTTGTTTGAGATAGAATGGGAAAGTCTGAATGTACATCTATATTCTGTATTTACTTCTTTTTTTCTCATCTTTGTTCATATTCATAAAATCAAGACACTTCAATTGGTTCAAATGGATGAAAATATTCTTTTGTGTATTTTTTGGTCAACGTTTGACTAATTTAAAAATTAATTTTTATGTAAAGGGTGTGTTTCCTATCATCGAAATAAATTTGAGAATTCTTTCTTATATAAACTATTATATATCTATTAAAACGTCTAGTATGTTTAAAATCAGAAAGCGAGATTGTTCACCAGGTTGTTGTACAGATATTACAAAGACAATAAATGAATAGCGATGTAATTTTAAATATCACATTTTATATGTCTTCCACCCTCATATTCCTTTTAAAATGATGTACATACTATTTATTTTATTACATGTTTCTATTATAGTAAGTCACCATTATTAGATTTTTTAGTCATCCGTCTTACTACCTATGATCTATGGACTATCCGGTGGTTTGAGTCCTTTTATATTGGTATACCAGAATAGTTGATATTACATTCGGTGTATTGAACTACTTGACTAAATTAGGTGATTACATATACATAACTCAAGAATGAATGTTTCAATTATGATTGGCCATTCAACAATCAATGCAGAACTATCTGTTAATTTTGTTTAACAGAATCACGTCAAGAAAAAACTTATACGATTATGATGAATTTATTGCATTAAGAGAAGTATGTCTTTCTAATATAGTCGCGCTGATAACTAATAAACAATATCATTATATGTGTATTTCGTAATGTTCGTTAATTTGTAATTATGTTCATACAAGGTTGTTTCTGTTTATAGATACTCTACAAGCTATATAATAGACTAGAAAGGAGCATTCTGTTAACTTCTAAACTATAACAAAATGGGAATATGTTACAATACCTTGATAGATGTTTCGTCATGTACGAATACCAAACACAAACATGAAGAAAATATGGAAACCAATTATGTATAATGAGGTACGTACATGACTAAAAATCTGATAAGCTATGCAAATATCCATTTCAGTATTCCGTAATGATCTTGTTAGAAAGCAAGTTATTCAAACGCTAAAATATATAATATTCAAATATCAATTTTTTGAACTTTGATTATTCTAACATTCCATCACTTAATTTGTAATAGATTTTTGTTTTCTTGCTCATATATCAACACGGATCTGTATTCCGTGTGATAAACAGACAATCAACGGAGTAACTGAAAAATGCTTCAATCTCTTAAACATTTCTATAATTTAAGTAACCATGAACTATAACATCTTTCTCATTTGTTTATGATATAGGTATCGTGAAGTGATACGAGGGATATACACACTCTATTTAAAGGTATTATGTGAACAACACTAAGCAGTAAAGCAACAAACAACAGATCAGTTTGTAGTAGTTTTAACTTACACTGAACTTTATCACTACACGTGTAATTTTGGAATATTCGTCAGTCTTCAATATAATGTATTTCTTTTAAGACATTCATATCAAGGTATGTGACAACTGCTACACTTTCAGTTATTCCCTGATGCATACAAGAGATAACATTATTAAGATCACATCTGGCAAAAAAGTTGAAATCATGTAAACCTCTTTTATCTTTGTATTGTGCCATTGTTTCAACAGAAACGCCACTCATTGCCCTTCACAATAATAATTCATACAAAGTTAATGCAAAACTCACCTGTAATAGTGAGATATATTTCTGTCCTGCGGATACAAGTATGTTGAAAATGATGATTGCCAGGAGTAAATAGGACACAGAGCTTTCTCTCTTAAAAAGTGTCAGCCTCTGTATGTTTTTTGTTTAAGCATATATTTTCTCTCGCTCTCTTGCAATATCCCGTATTCGTTTTTGAAAGTAAAGAAAATATATTTTTAATGAAAACGAAAACAAAAATATAATATACAATACTAATATTATGTTTAATGATATTGTTTTCGAGAATTATGAAAGTCTAATTTCAAAAGTATCTTCGTAAATTTATTTACAAAACGGTTTTAAATTAACAGTTTCTTTCGATTGCAGTGCCAATAAGGTTTACGATTGTACAATTTTTATTAAATTTGTCTTTTTAAAATGAAATAAAAAAGACCACATGTTCACATTTATCTCGTTTGTTGTCTATATAATATCCCCTCTTGGTGTTAGGAAATAGGAGAGCTCTGACGCTTTAGTAAGAGTTTGTTGGGGTACGTTTGGTAATAGCTGCATTACCAATAATTATAATGAAATACATGTACATCAATATTATATTTTTCAACAATTATTGAACAAATTTTGTCAACTTATAATAATTACTTATTGGTTAAGCAGTGCTGACCCAATACCTGGTCGTGTCCAGTCGGGGAATCAAACCACGACCGTCACATTGAAAAGTGAATATGTTATCCACTACGCCAATAGATCATTCCCGATCAGAAAACGAAATTAGATTAATAAATAGCACACAGTCAGCGGAATGAGTAACATTTCAGTTTTTTTTTCAAAAACGGCCCTAGTTCTACAACTGACGCTTAAGTTTGAGGTGAAATGGCATTCTAGTTGCTGAGTAACCATATGTATCACTGTTGTTCTGATATATTATTTGTTTAAGATAACCTAACCAGTTCTGGATGTATAAAACTCTGTCAACATTGCTGTTGTTCTAAAACCCATACACTCATTGATAATGGTTAAAGGGAAACAACTCTGATAATGATGTTGTGTTAGACTTACCAAATGGTAAAATGCGTTTGATTTGTACACAACAGTTGTACAGCTTACACTACGACAAACCATAAACATAAAAGACATAAAATTCCAGAAAAAAGGAAAACGGTGGATGATCGTAAAAATTACCCCATTATCTGATTCTTGCAGAAGTACAAGAAATGACTACAGGCTGATATTTCTTTTGCGTTTTGCATATTGTTTATAATAATATATAATATGAACTTTTATAAAGTAACGTGTTAAGTTTGCAAAATATCCCGAAGGCGCTTTTGGACATGACATATTGCAGTTGTAGGTTTACAGAAACGCGCATACAAGTGTACATATACAGATATCTAATAAATCACCAACAATGAACGCTAACGTAAACATCATTCTTGATTATAGCGAGTGATTTCTGTTTTATAACAGATTGTAAAATAGATAGCTTCAATTCCGAAACGCCAGCTTCCATAGGTTATAGTACGAGAGTTTGGAACACCCATAGGAGTGAGGCAAATATCTTGTCTGATCGAATTGAGGCGATTACTCGTTTTTGGCAACGAGGGTCTAGGGAACTCTTTCAGGTAAGGGCATTTTCTGAAGCATCATTACTTAAACTTGTCTCAAGCTCTGCTCACCGGAGAATTATGGTCTCAGGAAACACTTGTTCTACTGCCAAAGAAGGCGAGCAGAGTGTTTTTTTTCTGAGTTCTATATTTTTCTTTTATAGATATGTTCATTTCAGTGTCGGAATGTAAGCATGCTAAAATTATTTTATAGCAACTTCGATATTGATAGAATCTTTTGCATTTTTAAACAGATCAGATAGAAACAATATATTCACACAACAAATTGTAGTTTTAGTATAGATGTCAAAAATCGGGACTTTTCATTATTAACATTTTGATGTCTAATAGGCGTACCATTTTTTTTTGTGGTGAACGATGATTATCGATGTCAACAGCACGTGCCACGAATAGGAATAACCTAATTTGATTCTGTTTCTACCGTAGGGACGCGTAAATATGTCTAGGAGAGTGAATCACATCAATCTATGAGTGTTCGAGCTCGCATTTGTCAATATAAATTATCATTTGATTATAATTAATTTGAAGATATCTAATGCAGTGTCACGAAATGCGAAACGACCCTGTCATCTATTATTTAAACAGTAATATAAAAGACATTAGTAATGGAAATTCAAATAATGACTTAGGTCATGGTTATCATGGGTAATAAAAAGTTATGTTTTCACAATGAGGTTACAAACTGGGGTACTGTTGGGTAATGGCCGTGGTTCTACCACGGTAAGTATATTTGCCAGGCGTTTGCTAGAGAAGAACACTTACACAAACGTGTAAAGCTCAATTTACTTCTCTCAGAAAAGTTATTGGGTTGTGATTTCACACGTTATGTATTAGAAATGAGTTACAAAGTATAAAGATAATTTTGGTACCAACAGTAGATAAAAGCGTATGCTAAATTAGCACATGTAAAGTAACATTTGGTGTAGAAAGTGTCGAATTACCATTTAGTTTATTTATATTGAAAATTCTAAAAGCAACCTGTGTGAAGTATAATTTAAAAGCAAAATGAATTACATTCAAAACTGTGAAAAAACACTGTTTCGACCAAAGAAAAGCATGCTTCATTTCAATAAGCCTACGAGACTTATGTTAGAACACCCAATCTCTGTCATATTTCTGTTCCATAGCGCTAATGCCCATGACCACAACAAGTAGTTCTAAAGTTTTAGTCAGTTTCCTCTCAAAGAATAGATTCCTACCTCCGTTCTTCATCGAAAGTTGATTTCGAAATTATGGTAGGCTGGAAAGTTTCAATGTTCTACAGTTGAATAGTAAATCGGCCTTACAATGTCTCGTTTAGATAGCATTTACATTAATAACTATTATCATAATGCCCCCTCAAACAATGTCCTGTTCAACGTATGGTATCTATGCAACTATTACCAGTTAGACGATCATTTCAATTATAATTGTTTGAGCAATTAAATATGAATAATAACACAAGTAATAGGAAGTTGATGTAAATGGACTATGGTATCACTATAAGGTCAAGTAACTGATTTGGAAATTTTGTGCAAACAAATTTGTTTTTCAAAAGTAATCAAAGTGCAGTAGTACAGATCGAGGAGAATGTAAACCTAACAATGCACGTTGTTTCGTCAATTCATTTGAATTTTCTCAGTGCCAGGTAGTAAATACAGCGAACGTTGACTCTGTGTGCACAAAATTTACATATAACAACACGAATATTTATTTCTATCGAAAATATGGTAATTAAAAGATAATAAAAACTTGAATTTCAAGTGCATTATAAATTGTTTTACCTTACAAATAACTTTTCAAAGGACCCCATAAGTGATGGAAGAACAAGGCACATACTTCTCGAAACTAATAGGGACAGTGAGAGATATTACTGTCTAGCCTCGGGCCACATGATTGATGACGGGTCAGACTCAATTACCTGTAGGTATGGCACTACAGGACAAGGCGGATGACATGTGGCAGTACTGGTGAAACAGACAGTTCCCCACAGGTGTGAGCGTGCATAAGGTAGGTGTCTTCATCACTTTATAGCATTGACTGTTGTCGTACCTTTGTATCGGTATGTTACGTACCATTACTCGTACTTTAAAAACAACCATATAATACTTGTTTACGATCGTTCCTTGAGTAAGTTATTCTTAATTATATTCTTTCTGTTTTCTTTTCGTTATGTAACGGTCACTTGAAGTAAAAGCGTGATTAAGCCACTGTAGTTGTTTTACACGATAAACATTACAAAACATCGCTCCTCGTATCGACTACAGGTTGATAGCGTTTTATGTTTCTCCTTATATGAATTACTAGATAGGTATATAAAATATCTTAAAATTTTCTATGACATATTTCATATGATTTTATGAAAATATGATCGGCATTTCTGCTTGAAAAACGTGTTTAGTTTAGCCGTATTAATTCTGGATATTGACATTGAAAGAGGCAAAATATAAGGAAAATATGAAATAAAACAGGGCTCTGTACCACGTGCACCTCTTTCATGGCTCTTCATGGGATAAACGACAAAACAACAAAATAACGTTGAAATTAATGACAAAGAAAAGCATGATAATGTAACAATTTATCTCAAACAATGATTACTGCATCAACGACGATTTAAAAACTCAAAGTATTTATAGAATGAAAAATAATACGTTTCAGGCATGACAATTGACTACACAGTATTTGTCGACATTGATTCTTTTCGTCAGGAATTCTTATGAGAATACAATTACTACTGCAAACGTCTCATGAACACTAGGATTAGTAAAATTCTATAATATTTTTTTCCCAACTAAGGTCTTCCCCAATCTGTATCCTGTCCTATCAGCGGTATGACATATGATGTTTGGATATATAACTACGGTATACGTGCTACTTTGTTACGTTAATGAAATGTTACTGCTGATGGCTATAAATACGAAGAAACATTACCGTCACGATGACATGTATGTAGTGTTTCAGTTCATTGTATTTATTGTAGATGTACAATTAAATCAGGAATTATTGTAATTGAATTAACCAGGATATGTATCAAGCATAATTTATTTCAAGGTCTATATGAATAAAACTGTTATCATTCACAAAGTCAGATATTGTGCTCAAGCTCAAATCCTTTTTCAACTAAGGGTTACTTGTATTGAATTCTTACATCATTTCGGCCAAAGTATCAATGAGAAGAGTCGCACAATATCACAATAAGTTAATAAGGTATGCAAAAAACAAAAACGCGACGAAGGTATGGACATGTATGTTGATAAGATAAACAAGAGTTTATACCAGCGTTATGTTAACTCACAACCCAAATTGAAATTAATTCAACAAAAATTCAAACAACTATGCATAAATCATAAAGCGATTTCAATCGCCCGCAATTTAAACAGTATTGTTCTTGTACTTTATGTAATACTATTTTAGAGGTTGATAATTTCCGTCATATAACAGGCTTTTCCATATCTCATTTTTTCTCATGTTATTTACCTTAAGAACTGAATACAAATTAATGATTTACCATCCATGGAAATATGAACATTACACAGTACCTAAATCAAAGTTTCAACTCGGTGTTCAGTTTAAACTACAAAAACTATGAGTAAGGGTTGATTTTTATTCACATCCCTTTTAAACCCTCTTCGAGACACTGCTATAAACATAATCCCTATTTGATGTATAAAGCAGTTAAACCATACACATACAGTAATCCTTTGTTGTTGACCTTTCCATCAATTGACGTATCTGAACACGTAACAGTTTACTGGTTTTTGTGCATTATATCATGCTCGTTGTGGTTTCACAGTAAAATAGCATCTTGAACACCAGAGCTTTTCTATATTATGATCTGTTTGTCACAACTGGTTTAATAATATAACATCAATTAAATTTGCATCTTTGTCTTAAACGTAAATGCATTTATAATATCTTCAGGTAATTACCATACAGTATCGTATACATTTATAGATTTACCACTCTGTAAACAGTCAGCTCAGAATTAATAACCTTAAGAGTGAAAGAAGTAAACATGTAACATTTATATGAGAATGTGAATGTCGACATTAAAATCGAGAAGACCTTTGCGATTGTTTTATTCTTGATGGCGATTGGATGTTATTGGTTTAATAGTATTTTTCTGATTGATCTGGTTTGTAAGGGCTGTGTCGAACGAAGCGAAGTCAAACCTATACATATTCTCAACAAACAAAACATGTATATATAAAAGCACTAAATAACTAATGTTACATTCTTTACTTTCTTGCTCCCGCAAATCATTGCATGAACCAACTCGATATGGCATTTGTAAAAACATAAAGAAGCAGCGCTTAAATTATTGTTCGTTTGGAGTAAGCGTCTCCGAAAGTTCATATGAAAACGGGTGCCAATGGGGACACCGCCAATACATAGAATAGAGAAAACAAAGGTCTCATGTGTGGCAAGGGGGACACCGCAAATACGTAGAATAGAGAAAACAAATGTCTCATGTGTGACAAGGGGGACACCGCCAATACATAGAATAGAGAAAACAACGGTCTCATGTGTGCCAAGGGGGACACCGCCAATACATAGAATAGAGAAAACAAAGTTCTCATGTGTGCCAAGGGGGACACCGTCAATACATAGAATAGAGAAAACAAAGGTCTCATGTGTGGCAAGGGGGACACCGTCAATATATAGAATAGAGAAAACAAAGGTCTCATGTGTGGCAAGGGGGACACCGCCAATACATAGAATAGAGAAAACAAAGGTCTCATGTGTGACAAGGGGGACACCGCCAATACATAGAATAGAGAAAACAAAGGTGTCATGTGTGGCAAGGGGGACAGCAGATCGATGTTGGTTTCTTCAGTGTTCCCTTACACAGTATGTTTGTTTAAGTAATATATACGTCTTCAGATTTCAGTCTGACACGATTTACCTTGCTTCTTCCGGACTTTCAATTTTAAAGTTTGTATTACTTGCTAAAAAGTTTCTAATTTTGCATTATGAAAACTATTCTTATGATTTGTAACCATGAGGATCAGTGAGGGTAACTCATATTTCATCATTTATACATGTAATTGTCAGGCTTGCCAGAATTTCGTTCTTTATGATATATCTTTCAACACTTTTTGTATGACATGAAATAACTTATATACAGTCAATGTATTTTGTGTTAAATAAGATATCTGAAATAATACATGTTATATAAGATATATTTTAAAGAATACATACAACATATCTTAAATAATGAAGGAAAAATCTGATATAATATTAAAACAATATCATATCTCCTAACCTCTATAAGATATCTTACATATTACATTATATCTAAGAGAGTTGATATAAGATATCTTATATAGAATGCATCATATATAATATATCTTTAACACTTTTTATGAAATTAAACGTCTTATATTATGTGTTAAATAAGATATCTGAAATGATACATGTTATATAAAATATCTTGTAAATATGTTTAATTATGTAGGAAAATATCTGATATAATAAAGATATTTTTTTCTTAACCTCTATCAAATATTTTACATGTTACATTATATATAAGAACGTTACTATAAGATATATAATATAGAAAGCATCCTATATAACATTATCAACATAATTCCTGCAATAGATGTTCAGTTGGCTTACATTAAAATTAATCATTATATCATGGCAAGGCGGCCCGACGGTAATGTCCGAAACTGACATCCGTCGTGTCAAATTCATGTCAGGTATGGACTATGCTTGAATCGAATTAATGGGTTTAGCATATATTAGAAGCAAATGATTCTGTTTTTTATTCGTCTATCTATCGTGTTGTTTTAGTCCTTCCTGACGATACCTGTTGATGTCGATGAAGTAAATTCCGGAGCTCAAGATCTCGCCATGAAGTTCGATGACATTCTGGTGCAGTTGGGAGAGTTCGGGTTTTATCAGAAACGACTGTACATCCTTCTGTGTATCCCCTCCATTAGTACTGGATGTTACATGATGATGCAGATTGTCGCCATGCAGGCCCCAGAACACAGGTTAATTCAGTTCACTCTACTCAAGGCGTATTGCACCTTAACAAAATACAATTTTGCCTGTAACTGCACATACCTTACATTAAACTATTTCCGTTTGTAATTTTTTTTATAATCTCTATACAAATATGAACTTAAACATATCCCATCATCTCAAAAGGATATTTCGTGAAGTAATGCATGAACATACACAGCATTAAAAATGTTAATGTAAAACACTGAGGAAAATAGTGTACTATCATCATCATCATGACCTGGTTTCTATCTACTGTATCTACCACATGTTCCATGTTCACTATATCTTAGGTCCTTGGTTATCAGTGGTCTTAGGCTCTTGGTTATTATTGACACTATGTATTAGGTCCATGGTTATTAGTGACACTATGTCTTAGGTTCTTGGTTATCAATGACACTATGTCTTACGTCCTTGGCTATCAGTGACACTATGTATTAGGTCCTTGGTTATCAGTGACACTATGTCTTACGTCCTTGGCTATTAGTGACACTATGTCTTAGGTCCTTAGTTATCAGTGACACTATGTCTTAGGTCCTTGGTTATTAGTGACACTATGTCTTATGTCCTTGGTTATTAGTGACACTATGTCTTAGTTCCTTGGGTATTAGTGACACTTTTTCTTAGGTCCTTGGTTAATAGTGACACTATGTCTTAGGTTCTTGGTTATTAGTGACACTATGTCCTAAGTCCTTGGTTATCAGTGACACTATGTCTTAGTTCCTTGACTATTAGTGACACTATGTCTTAGTTCCTTGGTTATTAATGACACTATGTCTTAGGTCCTTGGTTATCAGTGACACAATGTCTTAGGTCCTTGGTTATTAGTGCCACTATGTCTTAGGTCCTTGGTTATTAGTGACACTATGTCTTAGGTTCTTGGTTATTAGTGACACTATGTCTTAGTTCCTTGGCTATTAGTGACACTATGTCTTAGGTCCTTGGTTATTAGTGACACTATGTCTTAGGTCCTTGGTTAT